GCCCTTCCTCCGGGCCCTGAAGTAGAAATCACCATGACTCCTCCCCTCTTGTGGTCACTGAGACTTACCCAAGGGAATGTGCCCCAAGTACATCCTTAATAAACAGTGGCCAGCTCTACATGAGGGTCAGCACAAAACGGCCTATGAGCAAAAGCCAGCCAGCCTCCTATTTTTGCATGGCCCACGAAGTAAGAATAGGTATTGCACTTTTAAATGATTGGGAAAAAATCAAACAGAAATAGTTCACAACTCATGAAAATTACATGAAATTCAAATGTCAGTGTCCATAAATAGCTACTGGACCACAGCCATGCCCATTCCTTCACATGCTGTCTGGAGCTGCTTTCGAGTAGTTGCCACAGAGGCGTGTATCCTGCAAAGCCTAAACTACTTACTACCTGCCTAGCCCTTTACAAAAAAAAAGAAAAGCTTGCCTATGCCTGCTCCGAAGTGCAGGATTAAACCCTGCTCCCAAGTTTCCAAGCTCTAAGGCCCGCCTCAGAGCCCTGAGCACCACGGTTTCTGGATCCTTCCCCTGGAGTGAGGCCAAATAAGCCATCTAAGTCACCCAACTTCTCTGGGGCTGAACTGCAAAATACGAAACATCATCAGGTCTTGCCCAGCTCCAAAGTCTGTCAGAAGACAAAAACAAGATAATGTATGTGAAAGCATTTTGTAATCCAGGAAGCACTGTATAGCAACGGGAAGAATTGCTGCATGATTTGATTCAGAGAAAGGAGGCTGGGATGGGGAACTAAGCCAGTTGGGGGAGGGGAGGGCTCTGCCTGGCTTTTGTATGATTCAATAATAAAACAGACCGCACCTGCTAGACAGGGCCTTTGTGCAGCCCAGGCCCCTCCTCGCCCGTGTAGCAGTTTCTTTAACCCTGAAGACTGCAATCTTCCCTTAGGGTTCAAATTTGGGGCCAGTGCCACTTCCCCAGACAGATGGCTCACAGCGCTCCCAAGTTTGGCCTCTTCCCAAGTAGTCTTCATCACCCCCCACCCCTGCCCTCCCTCCTGGGGAATTTTAAAGTGCTCTGAGGGCTTCCCTTCCCCAAACCCACCCATTTTCATTTCTATCTTTATTCTGAAATTGTTAAAATACTTCTGGAATAGGCTAATGTTAAACCCTATTGGTAATTTCTTTAGCGTGAACAAGTTAGTTGTTCATTTGTTCAGCAAACATTCGCTAAGGTTCTCCAATGTGCTGAGGAAAAGGAGCTAAACCTAGGCAGACAGATGGTCCCCAGAAGGGAGGCCATCTGAGGGACAGGCAGGGGAAGCTAAGTGGGTGCCGTGGGATGGGGAACCGACACCACTGTGCTGACCCAACCCCAGTTTTCAAGGTGTCTAAGAGAGGGCAAGGTGGAGAGCAAGGTGCAGGGAGAGTTCCTGGAGGTACAGTCAGCTGGGAATAGTTCTGTAATAGAGGTCAAGGGTGTGAGGCACATCTTGGGTGTGAAGGGGTTCTTGGGGTTGCTGGCCAGTAACTCCAGGGTGGGCTCCACTGCCACAGAACCTCCTCCCACTTAACCTCCTCCCACCTACTGGAAACCCTGCCCTGGGGGTTCTCAACGCAAAGCCAACCTGGAATCTGACGGTGGCCCTGCTCTCCCTTGACCATGTGCAGTGCCCCCGCTGGTGAGGTGCTGGCCTGACACTCAGCTGATCTTTCACAAGTGAGAGACAGACAAAACTGTGTGCAGAACTGGATGTTTACTTCCACCATCTGCGTGGCAATACAAGTTCAAGCTATAACGGCATCCGCTCTCCATCAGTATTAGGGAACCATTTAAACACCCACAGCCATTTACTGATTATAAACACACACTAAAAAAAAGGCGTCGAGTGGCATGTGGCCCCGCACCTGCCGCCTTTGTGTGCGTCAGTCAATTTCATGCCTAGGAAGCCTGGGCTCCGTGGGGAATGGCGATACAAGCAGTGTGGCTGGTCGTGGGGTTTTCTTTGTCTTTTTTTTTCCTGGGAAACAGCATAAACCAAGTTGGCTCAAAAATACACTTACTGCAAACAGATGGGAATACATGGAAAATAGACAATGATCATAAATGCAAACAAAAATTGCTGAATTTACCAATGTTAAAAGGTCCATTTACTTATATTAGTAGATAAAACTGAAGAGCATTTTTATCAGCCTTGAAGAAAAGTCAGCTGTGCAAAAGGCTCCAATCTCCCACCCCCAGACCCCTCACGCCCCCACCCCCACCCTGGATGGTGTGTCACTGGCAGTGACCAATAGGAAATAAAACAGGCCTGGTGAGAGCAGGCACAGGGAACTGAAAGTACAAAAAGGAACTGATGCATTTTATAAGGAAACTGACCGAAAAGGTGTGCAAATGTTTTCTCATGGCTCCTGACTACGAGATTGAGATCTGCCTCCGTCCTGAAATCAGCTGTGTGACTTTGGGTAGTCATTCTCAGAACCTGTCTTCTTACTGGGGACAGCTCCGGGGGGAGGGGTCATTTCACCAATGTATCCAGGAGCTTTTCAGAAGGCACAGTTCCGTCCACTTCTCCAAGCCAGGGTTTGTTTTTGCTTTGTTTTGCTTTGTCTGTTTTTCTTTCCCTGACAGCTTTCTAACTCTAAGTACTTTCTGCCTCTGTGGTATAAAAGGACCCTTTTACTGCCTATGACCATATTTTTTGGAGGGGGGAGTATGAAATAACACTCATCTTTGTAATACGTCAGGGGATGCAATGTACGGCGATGGGAACAGAGTCAGTCATATCGTAGTAACTCTGTGCGATGACAGAAGGTTGCTAGACTTACTGTGATAACTTCCTAAGGCATCAAATGTCACACCTGAAACTGATACATTATATGTTGACTATAATTTCAAATCCATTTCAAAAGCTAAAAAGAGAGGACAAACTGTTTATAGGGGAGTAACGCCCTATAAAAGAAAAGGTGGGGAGCAAGCTGGCTGGGGGAGCCATCAGCCTGTGATGGAGACCCCACAAAGTTCAGCCAGCCCCCGGGGGGCTCTGAAGCAAGGACTGCCTATTGTATCGGGTCAAACAGCCAGGCACCTAGACTACCACCTCGCCCTGAACTTGACCACAGAGCTTGACTTTGGCTCAGAAAATGAGTTTTGAGCTCCACTAGAAGGAAGTGACGGCAGGGAGGCCGTCAGCTAAGCACACAACTTGCAGCAGGAAGTGTCTTTCCTAAAAGGGGGAGCAGAGCAGCACCTTTTGCGTCCACCGTGCGAAATACAATTTTTAAGAGTTCTGTTCTAAAAGCAATGGAAAACCACTGAATAGTGTCAATGACACAAGACGAGCTGGGATTTCATAGTTACATAAATATTTAACGCCCACTGAGTCAATCACACAACAAATAGTTGAGAATCTGTCATGTGCCAGGTGCCTGGGTGCTTGGGATACATGAGTAGACAGAATGAAGACCCTGCCCTGGTACAGCTTATATTCTACAGAGAGGGAGAGAGGTGAACTACAGTGCATAATAAATATGTCAAGTACATAGTGTGTTGCACTTCTGCTCCTCAGTGTGGTCCATGGGCCAACGGTATCACACAGGGGTTTGCTAGAAATGCCAGCCTCACCCCAGACCTACTGAATTCAAATCTGCATTGTACCACGAACCCCGAGTGATTCTTATGCCCAGTAAAATTGGGCTCCACTCTCAATTCTGAGATACCTTTAAGACAATGTGAAAGTCGGGGAGATGACTACAGTATTTAGAAAATGTAGTCTAGGCAGACCTCATTGAAAAGGGAAACGTTGATTAGAAACCTGAAGGATGTAAAGGAGTTAGCCAAGCATCTAGTCTGAGATGTTCACTGGCAGAGGGAATAGCTGGAATCAAGGCTGTAAGGCAAAAAATGCCCGCAGTGTTTGAAAGCAAGACAAGGGCAGGGAGCTGCTAGTCACCCAGATGAGAAACGGTCGTTCAGAGCTGGCTGGTAGCAGGGGAGGAGGTGAGCAGTGGTCTGATCCCGGGTGAGTTTTTAAGGTATATCCAACATGCTTTCTTCATGGATTAGATGTAGGATTCGAGAAAGAGAGGAGTTGGGGATAAGTCCAAGGCTTTTGGCCTAAGTAGCTGAAAGAACAGACGTGTGAAAGAACTCAAGTCGGGAAGGCTGTGGGTGGAACCGGTTTTTCGGAGGGGAAGATCAAGGAATCATGCAGAAGTGGAGATGTCTGTTAGACATCCAAACGATCAGGCAGCTACACACAAGTGTGGGGCTCAAAAAAGAGGTCTGTCTGCTGAGATGTAAATCTGGGAGCCATGCTCAATCATTCACCGCAGTCACCTAAGAACAGAGCTAAGTATGATGAATTCCTGCTGCCAGGCCCGCAGAGCTGATGATTATGCCAAACACTGTGGTCAGATAGCACACCTGGTGGGGAAGTCACAGGGGCACAACTTCTATACACTGTGGTCTGAAATTTCAGGTGCATAAAATAGTTGACACACTTTAAATACTTTTTTTTTTAATTCTCAAATATAAATGCAAAACCAAAGGTACTCATAGAAACCAAAATTGAAAAACTCTGAAAAAAAAATGATTATCATCTAAAATCGACCATGTACTTTTTAATTTTGGCTGGAGAATGAACAAAACTCATGGATGACTCCCTCTTAAAAAAAAACTGCACTAAAAAGTAAAAGTCCTAATAAACTAGATAATGAACATATGTTAATTAAAATCTAGCACCACTTGGTAGTGTAGCTGGGTGCATTGCATTACAGCAGCTATCCAGTGCTATGTTTTAGGCCCTGAGTTAACCATTTTCTTATACTATAATCTCAGTCTCGATCCTATAAGGCTGTACCCATTTCAATTAGGATAAGACTGAGATTCAGAAAGGTTAAATATGTGAGCACATACGGTAATAAGGACCAGTGCAGGAATCAAACTCCCAATGAAATGAAAACTACTCACAAAATTCAAACAACACAACTGAGAAATCTGCTGCAGAAGGAAGTGATACTAATCTATTTTATTTTCAAATAAAAGATAAAGTGCTTCTTTTAGAAAACATTAACTTCTAAGCCTCCAACTTTATATAGTCAATAGACCCTTTACAAAATGGTTGCTGGAATGTCAACTCTTTCCATTTTTTTTTACAAACTACTCTAACCACCCTCTACCCGCTATGATTCATGTTCTCATTATAGGTACATATGACTTTTCTTGCTGGAATCTAGGCAAGGTGATACTGATGACTGAATCAAAACTAGGCAAGTAATTTTGTGTTACCTGTACTTTCAGATTTCATCTATAGCAAGACTAGGTAAAATATAATGTACAGTCAATGATTTATTAAAAATTTATTTCATGTAATAAATTATAGAATTCATTTTCAAACAGTCTATACCAAAAATATTTTTGGAAACATCTTTCTTTTTTGGTAAACAAATATGTTAGCAGGTTAGTGTCAATTTTAATTCTAATGACTAAAATTCCCACAATTACACAGTTAAACAGAGCTTTTCTTCACATTTCTCTACAAGTTCAAGCTGAAACTACTTGAAAAAACAATCCAGTATAAACATTTCCATTTTGTCCAAGGCCTTAGACTGAACTGTAGAATATTGGGTGGAAAATTATAAAGATATATTCATTAGCCTTGAACTCATCATCACCTTTCATGTATATATACCATAATGGCCAAAAGAAACAGGGAAGTTAAAAAAAAGCACAAAAGAATACAGTGGGTAAGTCTTAGCCCTGTATATTATAAGTAGCCATAAAAGACATATCATCAATGCAACAGACAAGAAAAAAAAAGTTTACAGGTTTTTTGTTTGTTTTTCCCTAACAAAGCAATCCAATTGTTCTTATCAAATTATTCAGAGGGTATCAAACATCTGTGTACATAAACTGGATTAGTTTTTAATTACAAAATAAGATTGGTCTTACAAAAAGCACAAGAGAACAAAACCATTTAAGGGGTTGGCAGAAATCAGCACGTCTTAGAAAATGGAAAAGAAACCCAGCTATTATATGCAGCGAGTGGACACGTATTCAGAAAAATTTCTGCCTGTAATAAGAATGAGACTCACTGGTGTTTATCATTTTTGTCGATTGTTGGCTACCTTCCTCCATGAAAGAACACAAGAATTTAACTCTCAAGTGAGCTACTAATTCAATATTAAAGCCACGTCACTGGCTAAAAAAAATTACCTTTGCTCAATTAATTTTTTTAATTTACTTTTAATTTAAATTTCACTAAAACCTACCCAAGGCATGTATCTAAAAGCAAAAGCACATCCTGTAGCTTCAGCATCGTTCAAGTTCTTCTTATGGGGGGGGGGTTACAGAAACAGCCACAGTAGAGTTACATGCAAAGGTAAAATATTGAAAAAACTTATATTAAAATTTACTATTTTGTATATCAAGTGCCTATTGGTTAAACAGAACTGTATTCAATAATTCACATTCTATAATTTTATTCAACTAATAGAAAAAGCTAAATAGAAAGACTGACTGTTGAACACTGAGTTCCCAAGGCTGGTATCACATATCATCCCGACAGAGTGAGAATTCATCAGCAGAGAACACCAGAGCCGAACGGAGGGCTGGATTTAAAATTCCTTTCCCTGCTGTGCGTAAGGAACACAACGTGTAACGACCTAAACGATATTTTGTGTTATTCAATTTTCTTTTCTGGGCCCACTACCATGGCCCGATGGCTTTAGAAACCAAACTTCAAAACTCTACCTGACAGCCAGAGGGAAGAGGAGGCGGACCATAAAGATGGAAGAGGTCATCTCAGCCGACTGGAAATGTACTGTCCACCGCCGTCTGCCACAGTTCCAGGACAGTCAAGGTTACCAGTAACCCTCAGTGCTAGCTTTGAAATAAACAACTGTCTGTACACACTTTCTTATACTTCTATGTGGATATGGGAGTGAACACGGGAAAACAACATCAGTGTGGGGGCAAAGGAAAGCCTGAATATACGGAACCTGTGACATCCCTTCAAGAACTCAGGAATTCTATAATCTCAAGGTCAAATTTAAACCAGCAGGAATAGAACTGGAATTCCAAAACCTCTGAAAAGAAAGCACTAACAATAAAAACTGCAGCTGATTTCATGGACCAGGAGTAAAACATTGTAACATATCCATCATGCACATGTGGGTTCATGTAATTTATCTTCAATTAGAATTATTATCTGTTCAGCAGCTGAGGCCCAAGAACTGCTGATACACGACATGTGCTAGTCTCTCGGCTCTGGCCTTTCCTCAGCTGAATGACATCACACAGCACAGAGTGCCTGCCCTGTAAACCAGTCCTGGCTCACCTGGAGAGTCAGTGCACTGCCAGCAGTTACACTGGCCACGGCCCTCCATCCCCTTTCGTGGACTCTAGAGGTTCTGTGGGGACTTTTCAGCTTTATCGGTTCTACAGTTCAGTCCCAAATTCACATAGAAAACATTGCACAACTTTTGATCCAGGATTTATTCCTGTAAAATGATTAAAACTGTTTTTAAAAACAGATAAAGTATGTGAACCCCAAAGATTCATTTAAAAGTAACCTTTACGACACTTATAATAAGGTATTTTATTTCGAGTCTTGACTTCCAAGGTTCTCATCATGCCAGTGTCTGAAGGGCTCTGACTTCCCTGAGCAGGAGCAGTGTCGTCTGAGCTCATGTTTAACAGCTCACACCGCCAGATCAATAGGAAAAAAACAACCCAGAAATGAAGGCAGGATTCCCTCCTGTAATGTGGTCAATGCATGTTAAGTCTTCAAATAAGGGTACATTCAAACTGATTTCAAAGGAATTCTTAGAGCCTTTAATATGCCAATAGGCAAGTTTTCGAAGTCCCCAAACTATCTGTCCACAGAATCTTTTATCTGTATGAGCACTTCTTAGGAATAATGTTTTATAGAGCAGGTCTTAGAAAACACAGCTTCACTAATTCCTTAGACTATGAGACATCAGTCTATTTCTTAAAGTTAACCACAAAACAATTGTTACAGCCAATAATTCTGGAATTTCAGACTCAAAGGGTGAGCATGTGGGAGGGAGAGGGATTACACCTGTTTATCATACTATACACAAAGTCTGCCCAAAACAAAAACAATGGAATTAAAGTTTTCACTTGCCCAAATGGAAAAATACATAAGTGCCATATAAAACAATTTATAATTACATATTTAGAATTGGTAACCCTGCCTATTACTCAGAAGTCTACACCATATACTGTGATGACATTACAGAGCTATCTTCTTTGAAGCATTATTGAGTAATTAAAGTTGCTATGGAAAACTCGTTCCTTGAGGAGTTCAATGACTTCAGAGCAGTGTTTCTCAACCTCAGTACAGCTGAAATTTGGGGCTGAGTAACTCTTTGTTTTGGGAAGTTGTCTGGTCCACTGAGAGACGTTAGATACCAGTAACATCCCACCAGTCAAAACAACCAGAAATGTCCCAGATATTGCCTAGATATAAGCAAATCATCCCCTGTTGAGAACCACTGCTACTGGGAGAAAATTACAGCTTACGCCTTGACTCTGCTTCCCATTTTACAGGCATACTGTGACTTACATGTATCGACAAACATCTAGTACTGAGTAGCGTTAGAGATCCTCTGAATTCAGTGTGATCAGAAGCATAAGGAGTCTGTGAACAGCAGAGATGGTTAGAAAAAAAGCAGTCTACACATTTCAAAGCGTACTGTGGTAATTACACTGCCCTCACATTAGTAAGAATTATCTGAATCATAATGCTTAATTGACAAATATTCTCACAATTAGAAAAATGCTAATTGTATATTATAATATGTTAAGGATCACAATGACTCAGGCAGTGTAAGAGTAAGAAATGTAACAATCATCAATGGCCAATCAGACCATATTCTATTCCCTGACCAAACATGTTCCATGGCATCCTCAATCCGAGTATCTCACGTCTTGTCTTCAAACTGCTTGCCTGTACTGTTGCCACATCACTTCTTTCAAATTATCATGAAGAACCTCTTCCCAGGTCAGGAGGAAGGATCCTGCTATGTGTCAAGAATTCCACTACTACTTTTAGAGTACTTCAACATCCACATCTTCAGTTTTGTCACTGCTGTCCATTCCAGACACATCACTCTCTCTGTTCTGTTCTTTTCTGATGGTCTTTAAACACTTGTCAAGTCTCTGTATGAACAAGTCCACATCCTGGATCTTCATCCCAATGGCAGATGCAGCGTTGAGGTAAGCACATGGGTAATTATCAGTATGCGACATGAAGCCTCTGAAAGTGTAGCCATTCACGGTTTGCACAGACCCAAGAGGCACAACTCTAAAATGGAAAAAAATTTACCAATTCAATAAGTCTGGTGATATCAGTATACCACCCATAAACAAAGGATATCTGTGTTAGTAAGCCTCACATCTACTTAAGAGGCTTACAAATAGCCATTATTTGTGGCCTATGAAAAAAGACTGTCAGCCTTAAACTACCGTATTTTTTGGACTATAAGATGCACACCCTCTTTCCCTCCCCCCGCCACAAATCTGGGAGGAATAATGGTTGTTAATGCTGCTGTGGAGTTCTGTTTACATTTACATTGCTGAAATATTATGTTATTTATGTTATTAAATATTTCACCACATTTTTTTGCTTCAAAAAAATTTTTCCTATTTTCTTCCTCTAAAACCTAGGTGTATCTTATGGTCCAAAAAATATGGTAAAAAGTATACAATAAACTCAATTTTACATGGAAACGTGATTACCATGTATTCATCTTGGATTAAAGAGGTACAAGATCACAGAATCACAAACACCTATAGATCTTCTTCAAAGAGGTGAAAAGAAAATTATTTGTTTTTGTACCAAATATGGACTGTGACTTCACATACACAGACTTTAATGGAATGGTGAAACTAGTAAGCCAAAACCATTATGATTAATTGCCATATGTCATATCTCAAATGATCAATCAACAAAAACTCCACCTATCTAACCAGTGCCGCAGTCAGGGTTTTGCAGCAAGGGTCTAGGAGAGATTACGGAACTGTTTGCAGTGGGGCAGTTCTCAACAATCGGCAACACTCAGCAAGGGCACACTTATTTTTTAAGATTGATTTCACTGGCATACTTGATATAAGCAGATTTCTAGGAGTTACTTTTTTCCCCCAAAGAAGTCAATTGGGATCAACTCTAACATAAAGACAAATAGTGGTGACACTAAAAACAAGGCCAAGAAAAGCATTTTAAAAGGAGGGTCCAACTATGCTGTGTTAAACAGACATAGTTCATCAAGGTAAAAGCTCAGCTAATCTAAGCTTCTTTTCTTTTAAAAAGTTGTTCTTTGATGTAAAATCTCTAACCTCTGGTGGTCAGAGAAAAATAATAGAAGAATGTAAAGAAAAATACTTAGAACAAGATACTTCTTTTCAAGTCATTTTTCTCTGACATCAAATTAAAAATTAATTTTTAAGCCATGCACATAAAAAAGCAAAAATTACATTTTTAAAAGGCAGTACTTAGACAAGACTGCATAACCCGCCCTGACCAGCGTGATTTACTTGGTTGACTGTCATTCCACGAAGCAAAATGTTGCCAGTTTGATTCCTGCTCAAGGAACATGCCTGAGTTGCAGGCCCGGTCCTCAGATGCGGCCTGTGTGCAAGGCTACCAATCAACATTTTTCTCACACATCGATGTTTCTTTCTCTCCCTCTCTTTCTCCCTCCCTCCCTCCCCTCTCTCTAAAATAAACAAAATCTTTTAACAAAAACAATTTTTAAAAAAGAACTGCATAACCTTCTTTAGTTTAGAAAATGGGCTTTTCCTTGAAAACATTTTCACTTAAATTTAGTAACAAAGATGACTTACTCTAACACCACTGAGTGACACGATGGTGGATCATCTAACAAAAGAAAATGACGACAAATATTTGCATAGAGAGGTAATGGACTTCTGTCCCCATGTGTCCATTAAAACCAACAGATTCATGTCTTTCTGGGACTATTCAAGTGCAGGCAGTCCACAGCTGCACACCCCCCTCCTGGATTCTCTACCACATCACCATTTACTGCACAGTGAATTCTCAGGGGTAGTTTGGCATATACGTGGGGGGCTGTTGTTAAGAAAGGTACTCTATTAAAATTAACTTTTAAAAGCTGAATAAATCCAAGCCTCTTTTAAACACACCTGGCTCCAGAAACCTGTCTGGTAAAAAGCATTGAGCCCAGCTGAGTGACAGCTTTGTCGCAGTGTTCATCCAGTGTCTTAAGTGTCACTGCTGAAAAGGAAAAAAATATCCCAATGAACCTCAAAAAAACAACACATAATAACAGAGACATTTCTTTGTTGTGTGAACACACGTAACAGGAAATTTACCATCTAACCAGTTTTAAGTGCGCGGTCAGTGGTGGTAAATACATTCCCATCGTGGAGCAGCCCTCGCCACCACCCACCCACCCCCGGAGTTCTTACCATCTTGTAAAACCAAAACAAAAAATAACTCCCGGTTCTCCCCTCCTGGCAGCCACCACTGTACTTCCTGTCCCTCTGATTCTGACTGCCCTCAGTACCTCATATAAATGAATTAATGCAGTGTCTGTCTTTTTCTAACTGGCTTATTTCATAGAGACTTTCCTTTTTATTCACTGTCAAGTGGCATGATTTTACTTGAATACACTTAATAAATTATAGTTAGTATTTGTTTGCATATCAGACAAAAATATGTTAATATAAATTAAGCTACTCAGAATCAGACAGAATTTCCATACCACCCCTCTAGAGTGAATTTTCCAGTTGAACAGGTGGAACTATGACATGATCAATACAGCAGTTTATTCAAATTCAACTATGTTTTAAGAAGTTGTAAAATGAGAATGCGGGATATATTTCAGCACATGTGTAAGACTGAGTAACATCAACTTCTGCATATGGACATAAAAATTCTCTCTGAGGTCACATGGGTAAACTATACTCTATTCACTCTACCAGTCACTGACACTAGGCACCATTTCCTGAGGACAGACTGACCACACTAGTCTGCAAATATAATCTCAAGCACTCTGTAACAATTTTGTGTGTGAGGGATCATTAGCTCTCTTTTGGAGATAGGAGAAAGGAAGTTAGGGGCTACTGTACGGCAGAATAGGGATTCAAACCATACTGTATCACCTTCCACAGTGTCTACCTAGGTTACAGGCTAGCGAAGGACTAACTGGGACGAGGTTTATCATATATTAATAACCACACCATTTTCCATGGAAGCCCATTCCAGAAAAAGGTTTCAGTTACAAATGATTGTTTCCTTACTTTCCTCAAATGTACATGAAATATGAAACATATTACACTGTATATATTCACAAGTTAAAAAGAATAATTATGAAGCTTAAAAGTTCCTTAATGCATAAGAGTCAACATTCATATTATCCTGTGTAGTACATCTTGTACTACATGACAAAAACATATAGTTTTTATAAACTAAGGAAATTATCATAAATACAGAATTCTCTAACGCAGAGACACTCAATAAAACAAGCTTCTAATATTATGGTGTTTTATTAACTGGTAGAAATTTTTTATATAGAATCCTTACTAGTGACCAAATGATTTTCATTAGAAGCAGGAGTTAAAGTATTACTCTCTCTCTATTCATTATAATTATAATACTTAATATTGATTTAGATTCTCTCAGTATATAGTTTTTTATCTTAGAAATACATTAAAGCATTTCTAAAGGCTAACTAAACCTTTTCAATTTACAAATTAATACTGTAATAAATTTAGAAATAACACTGTAACTAGAAAGAATTCTTACTATTTCTAGAAATACCAGCTTCCTGCTGGGGATGGTTCAGAAGTGCTAATTTTTTTTAAAGGAAAAAAAAATTACCTAAAGATATGGGATTTTGAGGTGTATGCAACAGTCTTTCATTATAGGCTTCTGACAGCTTCTTTAGTTGGATGGACAAATATGAAAACATTTCCTGCAATAACAAAATGTTACACTTAAAGAAAATCAAATAAATATGTATTGCAACTTGCCAAATTTAGAAAGACAAAATCTGCCTGGTGAAAGTCTATGATGTAAATTAAATTACACTCATCCATGTGCCTAGGAGCAGTTCCTTCCACTGCTGCAATCCAGTGAGATTCAAAGCTGCCACAACGGTCAGAAACCACAGGATTTAAGTAAAGAAGGCAATGAACCTGATTTGGGGCCATTACATATCTATCACAGATCGATCCTCTTTTCAGAACCTCCAGGGCGACTGCTCTCATCCAAGCGGCTGTCACCCTCTGTCCTGGACCACAGCAGTACATTCTAAATGATTTCTCTGCCTCCTTCCCCACCTCTCTACAGTCTGTTCTACACTCAGAGGCCAGAGTGGTCTTTCAAAAGCGTAAATCAGATCATGCCCCTCCCAGTGACTTCTACTTGTAAGTATGAAAACACAAACTCTTCATCTCCAAGGCCCCAAATGAGCTGCCTACCCAACAGGCCCAACTCGGCAACTGTCCTCCCCTCCGTTTATTACGGCGCCAGCCACATCAGCCTTCTTGCCACCAGTGACCGCGCCTGCCTCCCCTGGATGCAGAGGCCCTTCTCCCAGGCCGCTCCACCAGTGGTTCCTCCTGACACAGACTCCTACGACATCCCTTTGTTACTCCCCTGTAAAGGCAGCTCTCCAACCCTGGTCCTTCCCAACTCTCAGTCTCACTCCAACACCATCACCTATTTTGGTTCCTTCACTGTATTTATCACAATTTGAAATTACCTCATTTATTTGATAAAATGCATATTGCCTATGGCAGCGTAGAATGGAAAAACTCCTTGAAAAAAGGGACTTTGTCTTCTTCACCAGTTTTCTCAACATGAAGAAAAATGTGCCAGGCTTTAGAATATAAATAACTTAGGAAGAGGTAGTTAAAAAGTGTATTTCTTTTAAATCATATAAACTGAAAATCAATGATTCTCTAAATTCAATTAAAAATATACCAACTAAAAACTGAAAATTATATTTATGATCCCACTCCAGAAAACAATGTAGAAAATAAAACAAAAATACATGTATTTTCTGAGTATAAAATTTCATGTGGACATGTAAGAAGTTACAAATTGACCTAAAATTATACTTTCTTCTCCTAGTAAGACCTTTTAAAAGAACAGAAATGAAAGTCTGCCCTTGAACGCCCATCTGTACAGGCAGGCCTCCTCCAGCCACAGGCCAAGCCCATAAACTCTGAAGATCCACCTAAGAGCCAGGGGCCAGCCCTGCCACGGAGACAGCAGGAACGGATGCTTCTCCAATGCCCAAGGCCACGAAAGCTGCTTCAGTTTTCTGTTAAGGCAAGGGCTGCAGAGTCTGGTCCCCCACTGGCACTCAGGAGAGTTTTTTCATGTCTAAAGCACATAGATGACTAACTCCATCTTTTGTTAGGTAAAGATTAAAAGAAGAGGAAAATTCCTACCAATCTTATGAATTATTAATGACTCTACTGAAGACCACAAACATTTTTATCCTTGTTGACACACAGTATATTTTATATTCTGACATGAAAAATTTTAAAACTAATTGTTGTTCTTAAATTCTTAGGATATTTTATAAGGCTGATCTCAATATGTCAGAATTATTGAATCTTAGATTAAAAGAAATTGATTTTTTTGTATTTAAAAAGTCAATATCCATATTTGTCATACCTATTGAACCCACTGATACATGTGATGTCTTTTTCTTTTGTCACTTAAAAATTGTAGAGAAATATTTAAGGAGACAAATGTTATCATCAGAAACAAACAAAAAAAGTTGTGGTAGCCATCTTTTCTTAAACATATAAAGATTTCTGGCCCTGGCTGGTATAGCTCAGTCGACTGAGCGTGGGCCTGCAAACCAGAGAGAGGATCATGGTTCGATTCCCAGTCAGGGCACATGCCTGGGTTGCAGGGGACTCATGAGAGGCAACCACACACTGATATTTCTCTCCCTTTCTCCTTCCCTTCCCCTCTAAAGATAAATAAATAAAATCTTAAAAAAAAAAGATTTCTGACCCCTCCTTCTTAAATTAGTATTTCAATATTCGCTTCAGAAAGCAAACGGATCACCAAATGGAATAAGGAAGTTAAGAGGTTTTCCAGCAACTGGAACATCATTCATGACCTTTTAGCACCACACCAGTGTTAATGGAGAGCAGGGGTCCTGGCTTTCTTTCACAAATCTGCATCTACTATAAAGTAGGCAGGTCACAAACTTAAATGCTCCATATTTTTAAGTCACATTTTAGATATTAATTGCTCACTTTCCTTCCCCTGTATTATAAAGTCTTGATCTGCATTTTCCTACTCTCCTATTCATCAACTTCTCCTAAATAGAAATAAATGTAATAGCCCAGAAATCCTTTTACAGTGTTTTCCCTCCAGTGTAACAACAACAAAAATTCACAGGTGAGGAACGATTTAAGATCTTATTCTATCTAGTATAGCTGTCACAACACCCGTCCATGTGGTCACACTCGTAGAGTACAGCTGACCTTTGGACAGCACAGATTTAAGTATTTTGATGCAAGGTTCAGAATCCATGGATATGGAGCGTCTACCGTATACATGGCTCTATGCCATTTTATAAAAGGACGTGGGCATCTGCAGATCTGTCTACAGGGGCGGGGGGTGCCCTAGAGCCAGCCAGTCCCCCACAGGTAGCCAGGGCTCACAGCAGTGAAGTTTCAGGGGAGTCAAAAGTTGTATGTGGATTTTCAACGCTATGCTGTTTGAATGAACTATACTTAATTTGTACTTAACTATTTCTAAAGAAAGAGAAAAATGTATCCTTAGTAATAGCCCTAACAGTGCTTTTAAACTTACTACTGCATACATGCCTATTAAAAAAACTGAGATTTTTTTCCCCAATGTTAAATTTCTGATACTTGAACAAATTAGTTTTAACCAAATCAGTTCTATCAATCACTTGGTAATGGCACTAGAATTCAGTGTTAACTGCAGCTAACATTGGGATAAAAATCTTTAGACAATAAACATAACACTAAGGTAACTAAATTTCACGTCACTACTATGGGAGCAATTAGACAAAAAAAAAAAAACAAACTTGTGAGTCAAGTTCATATCCACTTGCAAATATTTATAGTATCCTACTCTGTGTGAAGGGTTATGATAGGTAATCCAATAAGCAAAGAAGATTAAATCATCTGAAAGCACAATACACTGAATCCCACAATATTCCAGATATTAAAGTCCTAAATGCTTTCCCGTTAATATCACTACATTTAAAATATATCATTTAGGAGACTGTATCACTATTTCCTACACTAATACTTAGCTAAGCATTTTTTAACCTGATATATTAAAGGTACTACAGAACCTGCACTATATATTTTTTGCTACAGTTAAATCTATACCTGACATTTATTATAAAATACCTCTATAAAGGGAGAAATTTATTAGCACCCCAAGCAAATGTATATAGAAAGATCTCACTTAAAAGAAATGAAATATTATTGATTTTCTATGTCTTTTTTGCTGTATTTAACCTAATTTTAAAAGACTCTCACTAGAGATAAACTGAGCTGTATACCTGAATGCTAATGTCAGCTACATTTCCAGACTAAAAACACAAAACTTTACACCATAGTTCAAGATGTTAATGGAAGAGAAGTTGAATTATATTAAGCATTGCCTTTCAGGTGGCCTTTTGCAAACTAATTTGCAGTCATGATGCCCAGCATTCAACCTATCCCTCCCCATAACCCAAAGATGCACACATAATTCACTAAATTTTAAAGAAAAAAGTCTTTTGTACTCATGTTTTTTGAAACATACTGTTTCATGTTACAGCATAAGATGTAAAAAGAACTCCACATATTACTACAGTATGCCTCGCAGGTGGATAATAAATCAAGAGAGAAACGGAACAAGTAGCCTAATATTTCAATGACGACAGGAAAGGGTGAGTGGACAGCAGACTGCAGGTACTTATCCATGCACTGATGTCCGTACCCAAAGATGACAGTACAGACACAGTGTGCTGCTCTCACTGAGTGCGGCCAGATTAAAGAAAGGATCCAGGCACCTGTGGTGGTCTTTGCATCACAGGCTAAAGCACTGATTTCAACCCTTCTGTTGAGGCCCCACATTCAGGCTTGAAATCTCATGCTTTTGTTGAGATTCCACTACTCCACTTTTAGGGCTGCATATACACCAGTGTGTCCAGACTCAGCTTTGTTATAGGACATTGTATGAAGCAGATGTCTGATGTTCTCTTAGAACTCAGCCTGTCCTCCAAGCTTCAGCTAAGAAATGCCAGCCACTGGAGCAGCCGTTCCCGTGTCATTCCTCTTCTGCACCTGTCCAACTCATCAGGTATTTGCAACCGGGATTACCTGCCGGCCATGTTCAACAAAGCACTCGTCTAAAAGGGAAGCTAAGCAGAATAACGGCTTTCTCTGGAAGCAAAACAGAGGTGAGGATCAACTTCTGAGACTGATCTTTCTTTTTCTTAGAGAAACCCAAAGAAACAGTCTCTTAAATTTTAACCCCTTTTCTTCAAGGCTGCTTCAGTTAAATTCATGGTCATTTCTCCCTCCAATGAAGCAGATGTGTTGATCAGGAAGGGGCTAAGGACGAAGAGGTTCAATTCACACACACAGTTCCACTTTCTCTGATCCTTTCACCCTTCAAAAAAGATGGCTTGAGAAGGAATGGCTTCAAGCTGAGTTCTTGTCTGTCTCTATTTTGAAAAAAGATAGTCTTTTCTGAAGGGATACACTAGATGAAATAACCTCTAAAAATATCATTGCAGTGAATAAGGGCACAGAATAAAAAAATCCTAAGTTTTCTTTTTAACACTCCTTTTTTAGTGGTTACACCAATAATAGAAAAAGGAGCTCTCAGTGATGGTATATAAATAGCTCTGGATGGAGCAAAATAGCTTTGCTTCAGCTTCTCCAGAGCTGAACCAATAAACTATTACGATTA